CGAGCCTTCACACGGCTTGCCCTGATTTTCACACGGCCGTGTGAAGGAGTGGTTTGGCCGTGCGAGTTTCGCCGAGAGAAAACACGGGCAGATGGAAATCCCACACGGCCGTGCGACCCTGGCCGTGTGAGAAGCCTGAAGATCGAACTAATTGGAACGCAGCGTTTTGACTCACACGGGCAACTGGGTATGCCACACGGCCGCGTGGCCCTGCCCGTGTGAGTCGGGAATTCCTGGTTTTAACCCAATTCCGGGCTGCAAGAGAGGGAATCGGATTTTTTGAGCAAAAACAGAGCCCTAGAGAGAGAAAGGACGAAGAACACATCCTAGAAGCTATCTTGGAGCTGGGTTTCATCAAATCAAGCTTGGAGATCGTCATAGGAGTGGAAATCATCATCCCAGAGCAGATTCTTCCCATAATTATGAGTATGACTGCTTTGTATCTTGTTTTCCTCTCTCTCTCTATGGAGTAGAACCCCTCTCTCACTTGGGGATGAAGAACCCTAGTTCTATGTGTTAGGGATTGATTGTAATGACTTGGGATGATATTACTGTTTGATTTTAATCGAATGATGCATGTTTATTAAGTCAATTGAAGTCTGATCAACTTTTCCTAATTCCTGCTGCAATCTGAGATAGATAGAATCTGATTAGGTTGCTAGAGTCTCATCATTCGGTAGTAGGAGATTGGCTATACGAGAGTTAGCTAGTGTACTGCTTTGTACTGGAATCCAATTCCACTAGTGGAGTTCTGTTCTTACTACTTCAGCTTTCTATCCCGGTGAAGACTAGTCGTCTGCCGGGTAGTTAGACTGAGAGGGCTTGGTCAGCTTAAGAGATTCCAAGCTACTGTCGGATCTTCCGCAGTCTAATCAACAGTAAATCAACCCAGGGAAATACAATTGAAACCTAACTAAGGAGCTAGGGTGACTCATTCCCGAGTGACTCTTACCTGCTTGAGAAAACCGTATCAATTCCTGCTTTCTTTCTGCTTTTGCTTTTAAACAACAATCACTTACTTTAGTTGGCTAGATAATAGAGAATCACGGAGTAAGCAGTAGATCTAGACCCCGGGTTGATAATATAACTTGCCTGTTACTGCATTCCCGGTCTGCGATTACACTTGGTCGCAGATTGGTGTTGTGTTTTGGCGTGTCAAGCTTTTGGCGCTGTTGCCGGGGAACCTCTAGGTTATTGGGGAAACGTGAGAATTTGTTACTCTAGCCTTTTATTTACTGCATTTTATCTCTTCCACCTGTGTGCCTTCACGGGTTGCTTCTGCTGATTGTGTGCAGGTAGTGCATGACCCGTAGCCAGTCGGGAGATCTACTACCACTAGACCAGTAGCTTGAACGAACCTGCAGAAACTTCAAGCGGGCTCTAAAGGCGCGACTGGCTGCGGAGGAGGCGCTATCACAGCTGCATTTAGAAGAAGAGGAAGAAGAGATGGCTGATCCAGAGAACCATGATGTGATCCCTGAGGAGCAGACCATGGGATCCTACTGGACCGCTAGAGCTGCGGACATGAGGTCACCCATTCAACATCCTCATGTCCCAGCCAACAATTTTGAGGTGAGCACCTCAGTAATCACCATGTTGCGCGGTTCAGTGGTGTTCCGTGGTAAGGAGGGGTAGTGCCCCCGATCACATCTCAGGCGATTCCACGAGCTCATTGATGGAATCAAGATCAATGGGGTACCCGCAGATGCCATCCAGCTGAGGTACTTCCCATTCACCCTGGAGGGGCAGGCCAAGGAGTGGCTAGACACTCGACCTCCAGGCTCCATCACCACGTTCGCCAACCTGGCGGACAAGTTCCTTACCCGTTACCATCCTCCGTCGAAGACGGCGGAATTGCAGAAGCAGATCACCCACTTCACCCAGGATGAAGATGAGACCATCCGGGACGCCTGGGAGAGATACAACAGTCTCTTCCTGAGGTGTCCCAATCATGGTTTCAACGATGCTTTCAAGGTGGGAACCTTCTATCATGCCCTCTTCCCGGAGGACAAGCAGTTGATTGATTCGGTTTGTGGCGGGAACATGTTGACCAAAAAACCGCGACAAAACCACACTTTTCAATTTTTTCGGCCTTTTTTTTGTCATTTTTCCACCAAACCAACAACAAACCCACCCTTCCTACACCAAAAGCGGCCTATCCCTCCATTTTGAGGAGATTTGGCCGACGTTTTTGTCGCCGGAGGCGATTTCCGGCGAGACTCCGGCGAAGCTCCGACGAGCACTTCCGGGCACTTTTCGGCTTTTTGTCGCTTCCATCGCCTTCCCCTCATCATCCCCTACACCTCTACTTGAGTCTCCAGGTTTGATTTTGCCTTTAACTATGTTAATTGTGGAGAATTGGGTGTTAGGGTGCATGTTTAGAGAACCTCATTGAATCTTGTGATTTTTGTGCAATTGATTGAGGGGAATGCATGGAGTGTGTTTGAATTGTGTTGGGCAAAGTCCCTCTTGATTGTTTGAGCCCTTGTGTGCAAGAATTGTGCCAATTTCATGTTTACCTTAATAGTGCACACAAGGTGTTCGATGAAATGCCTGTTTCCGTACCATTTTGTGGGGGTCGGTTGGGGCCATTAATGATGTGCTTTGAGGGTGTGTTTGGTATGGATGTGAACCTTGAGTTGCCTACTTGTTCATGGATTTGCACCCCGACTCAGATTATGCTTGATTTATCGAGTTTTTGACCCCCGAACTGTGGATGAAACCATGGTTAGGCTGTTTTCTGTTCTTAAGTGTGGGGGTGTGATTAACATTTTCCTTGGCTCTTTTGGTTCCACTTTGGGCTGTTCTTTTGCGGGACCATGTCGAAGCCCAACCTCCGGCATCAATATGTTCAAGATTTGAGACGGGGACCCCACCAGGATCGTTTTAAGAACGTCCTGGCCTGCAAGTTTGGGCAGCATCATTACTGGTCCAAGCGAGAGTTGGAGGCGCTGAACTGCTACGAGCACCTCTCCCCCGTTGTCACCAACCGCTACTGGCGCCGCCTTCTCATCATTCGCGAGAAGGTGTACCATGAGCTCGTGCTCGAGTTCAACACTACCTTCGAGCACGCAGCCACGAACGATTGGAAGGACGAAGCTGCAGTCCAGTTCCGACTCGGCGGTGAACCACGCTCAATGAGTTACGACGAGCTGGTGGACGCCCTCGGCCTCAACCTGGTCAATGACAGGACCTTCATCACCGAGATCGCCGAGCCATCAGGGGTGGACTTCGGGAGGCTGTACTTCAGCCTCGCTCGGCCACGTCAGCTTCCCTTCAAGGCGGGGAAGACGAAGGCCAGCACATTGCAGCTCGAAAACCGTCTCCTCCATCACATGCTGACCAAGTCTTACACCCCAGCCTCAGACAGTGCTAGCGCCATCACCAAGAGATCCCTGTACTTCATCCAGTCCATGCGCCAGAGGGATCATCCCCTACACTTGGGCTCGGTGGTGGCGAGGACCTTCGAGAAGAGTGCTTCTGAGCCGAAGAAACTCCACTGCACTCCTCTCATCACCTGCCTGGCAGAGTACTTCCAGATATCCCTGCAGGGGTGCACAGAGCATGGAGAGACCACTCCCTTTGGCCGGGTTACGCTCACCAAAATGCTCCTGCTTCGAGAAGAGCGAGGTGTCATGTGGATCGAGGGGTTTCCTCAACCTCAGATCCCTGAGGCGGTCCAGCAGGAGGCTCCCGAGGGTGCAGCTGATGAGGAGGTCCAGCCCGAGGACGTGGATCACACTGCTGCCGGCCGCCCCACCACCTTCGAGTACGGGGGTGGCAGCTCCAGTTTTCCGGGGCAGGATTACTTCACCTCCCAGTTCGAGCAGCTGCGTCTCCAGAACCAGCAGATCCTCGACCATCAGATGCAGTTCGAGCAGCAGTACGCGGCTCACTAGGCCGAGTACCACCAGAGGATGGCTGGTTACTGATACGCCCCTGGGGGGGTGTATGTTATCAAAGTAACGCAGCAAACGACTCAATCGAAGAATCGATTGAGCTCGAATCAAGAACAAAGCGTTCTTAATACGAACTTGGGATAAAACGGAACCAAAAGGACAAATCCACACCTGGGGATAGCTCGATTGGTATAAAAGGGTAGTTGCTCGACCACGATTGAAGTGACTATTCAATCGATACACAAGCTTAGCAAGTTTGGAATCCACCAAACCCAAAACAAGTCGCAACTTGCACAAACCAAACGGTTTCTTTTCTATTCAACAAAGTCTGAATTTTACAACAAAATAGAACGCTATTTAAAGGCAAATAAAACCTAATACAATCATATTATAACTAGGAAACAATTAAGGTAAAATTCTACACTAAAAAGGACACAAAATTCGGGTTTAAACTTCCTTTCTTGAAGCACAAGTAAGCTGCCAGCAAACAGTCAAAAAGCAGCTTTCGTACTAACTTCACGCCTTTCGTTCGAGGCCTTCCCGAACTCCAATTCTTCATCCAATTCCTTCCCTTTGTTCACAAACATACCTAGTTTCATGTGGTAGAAGCCTTTGGTCTCGAATCAGATCCAGGCTCCTTGAACTGAGCTCCAAAGTAGGCTTCACAAAACAGTTTCCAGACATAACCATTTTCTGGCAGTTTTCCAGTTTTGAGGTAGCAACTTTGAGGACTTGGAAAACAACCTTAATGACATCTTCTGGATCCATAAAGCATACCATTGGAAAGATGGTAACTTTATCTGCAAAACAAACCCTTAAAATTGAATTTCCACTAAGCCAATTGGGAGAACCATGCCTCCAAAGTATGTACCCTGAACACGGATTTTGACAGCCAAATTCTGCCCTTCTTCTTTCCAACTTCGATAGCTTCTTCGTCAAGTAATTTAAACGTGTAGAGCTTGCCAATAGGGATCATATCAGGCTTCCCCTCTTCAAAAAGCTTTGTCCTCAAAACTTGATCTTTTTTCTTGTCAAAAAAATCACAGAATCGATCCCAAATTGGATCGAAAGAGGGCTTCCCAAACTTGCAATTCTGGAAAATTAGGTTAATTTTCTTCATTGAGCAAATTGGGGCTTTCGATTCCAGGCATTCCCAGCTCAATTCACTGCTTCCATCAGCTTCGCCACATCTCCAATCGTCATTCTGAACTGGTTCCTCGGCTCGATTCACCCTCTTCGTCGACGAAAATACGATTTCGTCTTTCCCGCCGTCGGCCGATTTTAAATTCTGGAAACCTAGAATTTCCGATTTCAATTTGGGCGTTTCTGATTCAAGCTTCTTCGAGAAGAATTGGTCGCTTAGAAACGTTCCTAGGACCTCCCTTGATGTCTCTGAAGTGCTGGGTTGGCTCGAATCGAGTTGGGGAACCTTGCGCAATAAGGGGTCTTGGTCGACCTTCTTCGTCACAAACAGAGGAGATTTTGACAAAGTCAAATTGGCAATTTCAGGTATGTTCGTTCCCGTTGAAGGTACCGGTGACGTCCCTGTAATCGTAGAGATTGTGTTGGCACCCTCGTCGAGTTCCAAATTGTCGTCATCTGCTCCGGCCACGAGATGGTCATCGCCACTGCTTTGCTTCACGAATAGAGCCGATTTCAAGAGGATTGAATCTTCAATTCCAGGTACATTCGACTCAATTGGGTGGACTTCTGACGTTTCTGGGGTCTTGGGAATCACGTCGATATCATCGGCGAGTTTCGACTCTTCGTCGGTGATGCTACCCACGAGAGCCCTCTGCGGACTCTGTTCCGTCAGCGCAAGACAGTCTCACGTCGTCGGCGTCAACGGATCGACTTGAGCGGATTCAGGTATCTCTGAAGCTCCTGATTCATTGTTCGAAATTCCTCCGCCGTCGAGGAATACACCTGTGCTCGCCCCATTGATCGATTCATCCTTTACAACATCGAACTTGTCTGCAGAATGCAGACTCTGTTTTTCCGGCGAAGAGCAGAGGCAGCCAGCTCCGACCTGTGTCTTGACTAGTTCCCTTCTCAGCAACGAATTCCTTGAAGTCAAGGCCTCCTGAAACACTTCTTGAAGACGTCGCAGCACCTTCAAATCATCCAAAGCCTCTCCTGCAGCCAACGGTTTCAAAATAAACACCTTGTTGTAAAGCTTCAATCGGAATTGCTTGCATCTTCTACTAACCCGCTGGACCTGTCGATCATGGAACCAAGGTTGTCCCAAAACAATATCACTAGGAAGATTATAAACAACATCACACAGTACATGATCTTCGTATTTTCCAATTGTAAACTTCACGGCCACCTGGGTAACCACGATGCTTGAATACTTCTCGTATGGCAATTGAAGAGAATATGGGGCTGGATGTAGCTGTAATGGCAGCCCCAATTCGCTAACGATCCTGGTGGAAATTAGATTGGTCTCCCTGCCTCCATCAACAAGTAATAAGCACAGCTTCTCCTTGATTAAACAACGAGTAAAGACCATGGTTTGTGCTAACTCCTCCGCCATTGCTTGTTCTGCAAATCCCATCTTGTTTGAACCCTTGCTTCCTCTGTTTTACGTCTGAATTTTGCACGAGGACACAGCCCTTTCAATTCTTCCTCGCCACTGATTTGAACGGGGCTCTGATACCACTTGATACGCCCCTGGGGGGGTGTATGTTATCAAAGTAACGCAGCAAACGACTCAATCGAAGAATCGATTGAGCTCGAATCAAGAACGAAGCGTTCTTAATACGAACTTGGGATAAAACGGAACCAAAAGGACAAATCCACACCTGGGGATAGCTCGATTGGTATAAAAGGGTAGTTGCTCGACCACGATTGAAGTGACTATTCAATCGATACACAAGCTCAGCAAGTTTGGAATCCACCAAACCCAAAACAAGTCGCAACTTGCACAAACCAAACAATTTCTTTTCTATTCAACAAAGTCTGAATTTTACAACGAAATAGAACGCTATTTAAAGGCAAATAAAACCTAATACAATCATATTATAACTAGGAAACAATTAAGGTAAAATTCTACACTAAAAAGGACACAAAATTCGGGTTTAAACTTCCTTTCTTGAAGCACAAGTAAGCTGCCAGCAAACAGTCAAAAAGCAGCTTTCGTACTAACTTCACGCCTTTCGTTCGAGGCCTTCCCGAACTCCAATTCTTCATCCAATTCCTTCCCTTTGTTCACAAACATACCTAGTTTCATGTGGTAGAAGCCTTTGGTCTCGAATCAGATCCAGGCTCCTTGAACTGAGCTCCAAAGTAGGCTTCACAAAACAGTTTCCAGACTTAACCATTTTCTGGCAGTTTTCCAGTTTTGAGGTAGCAACTTTGAGGACTTGGAAAACAACCTTAATGACATCTTCTGGATCCATAAAGCATACCATTGGAAAGATGGTAACTTTATCTGCAAAACAAACCCTTAAAATTGAATTTCCACTAAGCCAATTGGGAGAACCATGCCTCCAAAGTATGTACCCTGAACACGGATTTTGACAGCCAAATTCTGCCCTTCTTCTTTCCAACTTCGATAGCTTCTTCGTCAAGTAATTTAAACGTGTAGAACTTGCCAATAGGGATCATATCAGTTACGATGAGAGATTGGACCAGCTCTAGACCCAGCAGGGAGTGACTCTCGCACACATCGAGCGGGAGAGGCGCCGCTCTCGGCGCATGCAGGAGGTACAGGGGCATCTGCTCCAGCTGCTACCGCGCGAGCAGCCAGTCTGGAGGACTCCCTGGGAGGACTCCCCACTTTCATTTTAGACTTGTGTGTGTTTGCTCCATGTGTGAGGAGCTTGAACTTAGTGTCGTTTATTTTTGTTTCTGTTTTTTTCTTTTGTGGATTGTTTTGCTGTAGCCGTCTGGGCTAACACTTATCCCTAACACAACGTGTGCTAGTGTGTTCTTGGTATTCGATTCGTGCAGAACTGTCCATCTTCCCGTTTGTTTCTCGCTGACTGGTCCACTTCCAGTCCCCCAGCAGTTTCAATCCGGTAACATCGTTCCCCTTCTCTATCCCTCTGCTCCATTGAGGGCAATGTCTTGCTTAAGTGTGGGGGGGTGCTTTGTATCGGTTGGAATGTATATATGTGTGCTTGGAGCCTAGTCCACTGTCCAAATCTCGAGATTTGAGGGCTCCAAGTACTGCTGTTTGATCATATTGGCACTGTGTTTTGATTGATGAATTGAATGGTTTTCGGATTGATGCATGACAGCTTGATTGTGACTAGGAAAACCTATGATGAGGACTAAGACGTGCAGTATAGTTGTGTAGGGGTTCAGTTTTTCAACTGTTTGCTTACCAACTGTGACTTGGATTGATTACTTGTTCTTGACAGTCTCTTATGCATCTAGTTCAGGGTATCAGAATGTGAGATAGAGCATATAGGTAGCCATGTGAGATTTGAGCCTGCTCGTTTCTTTCTTGTGCGATAGATCCCTCTTCCATGATGTGTAGCATTCACGTTGTCACTAGCTAAGATGATGGGGGCATAGGATTAGCCCACGACCAAATTTGACTGTCCCGATGTGTCATATCCCCTAGTCATCCCTTTTGAGCCGTGTGTTATCCTTTCTTTTGATCTGAAATGAAAAAAATCACCCTGTTTGCATCTTTTAGAAGGTTCCACAGAGTGGGTTTTACATGTTCTCTGCTGTTTCTGCTAAATTTAATGTGAGTGTTGGAGGTAGTGCTTAAAAGTTGGGCTAGGCAGGTGTTTGAAATATCTGCAGAAGTGGTGGCTCTCTTAAGAAATGAAAAGAAAATGAAAGAAAAACAAAGAAAAATTGAAAGAAAAGAGAGCCACTACCAAAAATCTGAATAATGCCCAGTAAGTAGTGTTTCTTAGCGGTCTGGCTTGGAAATGCTGACATTTATACCTCCTTCGCTCTTGTGCTCTTGAGATATTGAGTAATGCAGAATAGCAGAAAGGAAATACCGGTTTGTTTGACTGTGATTGTGTGGGTTTGGAAATGTGGAACCTTGTGCTATGAATACTTCCACCACCTAAAAGGCCTTTTCCCCATGTCCAAGACCCTAGCCAGTCATTTGAACCTGTGTCTAAGACCTCCTGATTAGTTAGTGGTGACACCCCATATGTGAACTCTAGCGTTTAGAGGCTGCCATCATGGTGAAGAGATGTTAGGGATTGAGAGAAATAACATGCGCATTTTTCGCATCAAATTGTCCTGACCCCACTGGTCGAGAGTGAGTGATTCATTTTCATATTCTATATACTCTTGTACCCCGGTGAGGACCTAGATTGCTCGGTCTCTATTCTGATGTCTTGAGTTGGATGCATGAGTTGACTGTTTTGAGTAAGTGGTTGAGTCAAGTCTAGGTTGGTTGGTGAACAGAAGGGAGACTCTTCCTTTACTCAATTTTGCTGCACTCGAATGTCCTTTGTGGTGGTTGTCCATGTTGCTGTTGAAGTTGGTCATGTATTGATGTTTGAAAACCAGTACGATTCACGTGTTCTGTGCCTTTATGACTTGTCCCCAATGTTGGTTGATTGAAATATGTGAGCTTACCTTGTGTCTGACTTGGTTTGCTTGGGGACAAGCAAACGGTTAAGTGTGGGGGAGTTTGATAGACCGTTAATTACACATGTTTTTACCCCTGTTCTTACACCGTTTGAGATGTGGTTTCTCGTGTTTTAGGCCGATTTCACGCTAGGTTGTGTTTGTTTGTGATATTTCATGTCCAAGTACGTGAATGGAGGCTTGGGAGCGAGTTTGGGGTCGATTGGACGAAGATCGGGCGCGAGACAAGGCAAAAAGGAAGCCACACGGGCACACCCACAACTCACACGGCCGTGCAAGTGACCTATTTGGCCGTGTGGGATTGTGCGAGCCTTCACACGGCTTGCCCTGATTTTCACACGGCCGTGTGAAGGAGTGGTTTGGCCGTGCGAGTTTCGCCGAGAGCAAACACGGGCAGATGGAAATCCCACACGGCCGTGCGACCCTGGCCGTGTGAGAAGCCTGAAGATCGAACTAATTGGAACGCAGCGTTTTTACTCACACGGGCCACTGGGTATGCCACACGGCCGTGTGGCCCTGCCCGTGTGAGTCGGGAATTCCTGGTTTTAACCCAATTCCGGGCTGCAAGAGAGGGAATCGGATTTTTTTAGCAAAAACAGAGCCCTAGAGAGAGAAAGGACAAAGAACACATCCTAGAAGCTATCTTGGAGCTGGGTTTCATCAAATCAAGCTTGGAGATCGTCATAGGAGTGGAAATCATCATCCCAGAGCAGATTCTTCCCATAATTATGAGTATGACTGCTTTGTATCTTGTTTTCCTCTCTCTCTCTATGGAGTAGAACCCCTCTCTCACTTGGGGATGAAGAACCCTAGTTCTATGTGTTAGGGATTGATTGTAATGACTTGGGATGATATTACTGTTTGATTTTAATCGAATGATGCATGTTTATTGAGTCAATTGAAGTCTGATCAACTTTTCCTGATTCCTGCTGCAATCTGAGATAGATAGAATCTGATTAGGTTGCTAGAGTCTCATTATTCGGTAGTAGGAGATTGGCTATACGAGAGTTAGCCAGTGTACTGCTTTGTACTGGAATCCAATTCCAGTAGTGGAGTTATGTTCTTACTGCTTCAGCTTTCTATCCCGGTGAAGACTAGTCGTCTGCCGGGTAGTTAGACTGAGAGGGCTTGGTCAGCTTAAGAGATTCCAAGCTACTGTCGGATCTTCCGCAGTCTAATCAACAGTAAATCAACCCAGGAAAATACAATTGAAACCTAACTAAGGAGGTAGGGGGACTCATTCCCGAGTGACTCTTACCTGCTTGAGAAAACCGTATCAATTCCTGCTTTCTTTCTGCTTTTGCTTTTAAACAACAATCACTTACTTTAGTTGGCTAGATAATAGAGAATCACGGAGTAAGCAGTAGATCTAGACCCCGGGTTGATAATATAACTTGCCTGTTACTGCATTCCCGGTCTGCGATTACACTTGGTCGCAGATTGGTGTTGTGTTTTGGCGTGTCAGAGTCCAACAAAGAATCACGATTAACAATGTGTTCATTGCATCCCGAATCAATTACCCAAGACGCAGAATTAACAGAAAAAATACCTAGCATGTTGGAGGACTTCTCAAGAGAGAACTTAGGTGTTTTCAAGTCTCCACTCAGAAGAGATTTGAGTTGCTCGAATTGCCGAGAAGATAAACCCAGCAAGGGGCTGTCCCTCACGTCCACTTGCGCTGCCTGAGGAGATGCGCGAGGAGGACGATCTGAATTCTTCCTCGGTGGCTCTCCCTTGTCACCACTTCGAGGAGGAAACTCAATGATGCGGTAACAAGTTTCTTTGAGATGCCCTGTGCGGCGGCAATGCGTGCAGCGATCAAGATCACCTTGCAAGGACCCACGATATGCTCGTTTCTCCCCCTTAGCCTGGAAAACTACTGCCTCAGGTCGAGGTTTGGGACTCTGGGCAATTTTCCTTTGTTGTTCATTATTAGTCACGAGCTGGTAGGCCTCGACAAGAGCGGGTATCGGCTTCATGGCAAGAATTTGAGAATTGACAGTGGAGAAGGCATCATCCAACCCCATGAGAAAATCAAACAAGCGACCCCCCTCACAAACTT